CTGATCCCTCTTTGATATTTTGCATTTATACCATCTTAGTGCCTTCCTTCAAATAGCATGGAATGAGAGACAGAAGAGCGACAGCATATTGTGTTAACGTTATCAGAGTAACAATGCACTTAACTTTTTGTTCGATTAGCTGAATGCTCGAAGTAAAATTCAGGTAGGAGAGATGTACTCTAGGGAGATATACTCTCCATGCTACGTGCACCAAGTACAAGTAAGTTCTTTTTTGGTAGTCTTGACATGATTGACATATTCACATTGTTTTCTAAAAATTCAGCAGCTTTTGACATGATGCATTCTACTGTATTGTGTAGAGTCATGTGTACTCATTTGTGACTTCAAAGTTGGAGAGAAAAAGTTGAAAATGGGAAAATACTTTGAAGAATATATGATGCTTGAAAAGTGTCGTTTGGTTGGTGAACAAGTTATTCCAGAGTTATAATTACGGAGATTGTGAATCTCAGTATAACTTGTCACCAACCAAACGACTCTAGTTGTTATTACACTCCCAATCCCCCATACAGAAAATGTTGAAACATGGTGAGGCAAATATGAGCTTGGGATAGAGAAATTGTTGAGTGTTTGTGCATTTATGGATCCAATTTTTTTATTAGCCCAGCCCAATATAGAATTTGAAAGAAGGAAAAATTATCTGAATCAGCGATCTCGATCCACATGTTATATCGATATATCTAACAATTAAATTTTGCTATATTTAAGCCCTAATCGCGCTACTTAATTATGAAATATTCCCATTGAAGAACAATAGAACAATAGTGTATTATTAGGCCTTGAAGTATTACATCATTTCAAAATTATGTAACTAAAAATTTGCAAATGTAAGCAAAGATATGGACAACATTAATTTATTTGGACTTTTTGAATTTTTGAACAAATAAAAAGTCAAGATAAATAATTATACTTTGGAAATCAACTTTAATTCTCGATGACTCTCAAAGTGGGACCATAAACCAAATTTTCAGATTATTTTATTACTATAACTTAAAAAGTTCTAGAATATAGAAAAATCATCACATTTGTTTATTTATCATATCCAAATTAATGTTCAATCTATTTTATATTATATGTCTTCCAAAAATATACTAATACAAAAGTTGACATTGTGTACATGTCATAACATACGTGTGGGTATACATACTTTTTATAAAAATAACTCAATTGTCTATGTCAACGACGTATCTGATTATCAGTTCGATAATTTTTATCATAATTTAATATAAAATCAAATTATACATATATTCTTAAAGTCAAATAAACATTTTTTTTATATTTAAATTCTAAATTTTAAATTCGTCGTTCCGTCATATACCAAAAATATTTTATTTATGGGAATAAAAGATAACAAAGAAAGTGGAGAATAAATATAGTCCTTACAAAGTGCATAAAAAGGAAGTGGGCAAAACGTACGATTGTCTCTGCATGTAATTAGACCCATCTTTTGTTCCACCAACCCAACCACTAACAAAAATACATGATCTCCATACCTTTTGAAAATTTGTGGCTACGTTTCGGAATAACGATATCACGTGTTAAGTAATTTAACTTTTACGTGAATATTTCAATATTAGTATAGAGTTTGAATCGAAATTATTGAGTTAAAATGATCCTAAGTGTATAAATGTTGGACTATTTTAGTCCTTCATATATATCACGAAGCGAAAACGATTTTTAATCTATATGGAAAATAACCATTTTAGCTCTTCATATATACGACGTATCTTGTATTCTATTTTTTTTTGAGCTGATAGTCTATCTTAAACAATTTCTTCAACGATGCAAGCAAGTAAAAAAAAGAAGTTAAATTTAACCAGCAAGTCAAGTGAGTCGCATTACTCCATTATTATAGACGTACAACGACAATAATTACAAGAAGAAAAGGATAGTTTTTCTTTCCCTCGCGTAAATCTCTTACGACGTTACTTTTAAGGTTTGGAACTAAGCAAAAGGTGTTTATAAAAGTTTAAACATTATGAAAATGACATGTTCAGCTTAATCAAGGTATGATTAAAATACTAATTAGGATTGTACTTTGTGCATATAAAAGTTGGACTTTGACCGTCATGCACGTGCACAACCACATATAGAACAAAAATGATTTATTTTTTTATATATATAAATAAATAAACACAAGTTGTAATAAGTTTAATTTTAATTTTACAATAAATTATATTATTAGTGTCATTGTTACTATGGATTCAATTATTTACTAATTAGATTTTGAGAAATCCCATGAGGATTTGTCATTTAGGAAAATGGAATAAAAAACACCTAGATGCTAACAAAAACTAAAATTTAAATAACGCGTTTATATATAAATTTTTTATATAAAAAGTTGATTTTTGATAAATAATAAAGAAAAAATCCAGTCAAAGTCAAATTAATTATTAAATAGAATAATTCAATATCAACCAACTAGAGAATTTATATTTTGCTTTTTTTAAAGAAGGTCCACTTATTGGTTCAAATTTTTATTTTCTCATATTTTAACCAAAAAAAAATAATTAATACTTTTGCATTTTTCTATCCTTTATAATTATTTTGTTCCAAGAGTTTTCAAATATTTTCCTTTTGGCTTAATACACCGAAAATCTTTCAAATTTGCTAGCAGATTTAAATTAAATATTTGAATTAATTATAATTTATTTTAATTGAATATATATATATATATGATAAAGCGTTTTTATCATAAATTTTCAATTCAAAATCTGAAAAAAATTAGTACATATGATCTCAAATGTTTTACACATCGATAAGATTTACGATAATATATATGAGTTTTTTTTTTTTTTGCAATCTATATATTTATTTTACTTCATTTTAGTGGACACTATTAAATGATTTTTTCATTCTTCTTTTTCAATTACAACTAACATTTGACTGTCAATTACTAAATTTTACAAAGCAGTCTTAAAAATGTAAGCATACATGATTATATTTAATTAGTAATCATCTTAATTGTAACCACATAATAGTTTATCGAATCAACATATAATAATTGATGTGGGCTCATACTGATTAATTAAAGCAAATTTTTTTTTGACAAATTAGTGTGATTATTAATATTATTCTTCAATAATATGAAAATAATAAAATCTAATAATCGTAATCGTTATCTAATTATAAAAAACAAATACTAATATTTTATGTCACACATTTTTAAATTATAACTTTTTATTAAATTCGTAATGCATTATATATCGAACTACTCTGTTATGCCATGTGATCAATCAAAATGTCAGCAACATTATTTGGCTCTATGTGTGATATATCAGAAATATTTTGTAAAATTTAATTATTTCTAATTACTTTATTCAAATAAAGTACATATACAAGTTAATTCGGTGACGGTGCTTTTTTTTTTTTTTTTGGATTTAGTAATTCTGAAAGATTTTATTTTGTAATGTACTCTATTTTTTTTTATTTTATCTTATTAATTAATGTGTTTAAAATGTCAATATCTATACGTTGAAAAGGTCAAAAGGGAGATTTATTTATGTTGATTTGGTATACGATGAGAGTTGATCTCAAGGTATATAGTTGGCAAGATTTTCATAACAATTATTTTAATAACAGTCATAGAAAATAATCAACAACTTTTTATTTATTTTTGTTGATCATGTAAGATTTTTATTAAATTGTAACTTGCAAAAATATGTTAGAAGTAATTAATTTTTATTATTATTCAGCGAAATTCAAACTAATCGAGGCATGAAAATATGGATCTTCAAGTCAAAATAAATTTATTTAGTTAGTAAAAAATATATTTTATTATCGTAATTAAAAGTCGAGAGTTTAAGTAAAAAGTGAAAACTAATTATTAATTATTTTAAAGTGAGGGTAAAAAGGGTATATGATAAAGTTCTAGTTAGACTTGAGAAGGATGTAGATGTAGAAATAAAAAGTTAAAAAATCTATTCACACGATTATATAATCTACTATTACTAATAATAATATAATATAATTCGTGAAATTTTATCAAGTGAAATTTAGAAAGGGTGAAATGTATACCTTAAAGGTAAAGTATTTATTTTTGATAGTCCTTCGATTCAAGAAAAATATTTTGAAAAACAACATCTAATAACAAAAGAGAGAAACATAACAAAAACTGCGATAATTGAGGTATAAAAAATTGAAATATATTAACAAAAATCGAAAGACAAGAAACTATTGGAGCAATATTACAACTACTAATATGAACAGGAACAACAATACAACACACTATTACTTGCTAATCTTCTATCATAATTCATATCCTTCACGCCCTTCTATCTAAGATCATGTATTCAGTAAAGTGAAAATACTATCGTATCCTGTCTAATCACCCCTCCGTACCTGACTCCTATCATGGACCCTTGGTGGAAGCCAGATACCTAGTGAAACACAGTCGAAATGCATTTAATTTGATTCGAACACCATATTTATTAAAAAAACAGATAAATTTATTTGATATTTATGATGATATTGGTGCATACAAATTAATTCAAATGAGATAGTAATAAGAAAAGTATTTATATAAAAATCTGTCTAACATATGTTAATAGAAGATAACAAATATCGATGAAATAATCGGAGATAGTATACGAACAAAAACGTTTTTGATGTATTGGGGCTGACTCCTTATGCGATAGATGCAACGTTGCGCAATCTTAGCTTTAAAATTTATTTATTATATATTATGCATTTGATGTTGACGTTTTATAAAGCAAAGCAAAGCAAATTAAATTTAATAATCATGAAAATAATGACTTTTATGACAATATAGAAAAAAAAACATCATAATCCCTATATAATATATATGTAACAAATATATGCATTTGTCTTCTCAATTTTTTACTTTTTTAAAAAAAAGGTTCATAGCTTTCACTGTTGGTGCACTAGAAAGATTGGATTTTGCAGACCCCATATAAGTATAAGCTTTGTTTCTTTTTTTGATTTTTTTTTTGTTTTAAAGATTGATTCTTGATTCTTATATTTGATCATTTGCTGGTTACATGGAAAAAGATTGAATTTTTAACAATCTTTGGTTTATCTGATTGGCTGGTATCTTCATAAATTATAATTATATATATATGGGGTTTTGGTTCGAAAGATTGAATTTTTAGATGTGAATGATAACATTGGGATTCTGGCTTTTCTTGGTTCTTTACTTGATTTGGGTATCTGGGGGTTTTGTGATTTTTTATCTATGAGGTGATCTTAGGATTCTACATTTGGTGATTTGGGTATGTTTCTGTCTCTTCTATGAGGGTTATCAGTGATTTCAGTTTCTTGATTTGATTATCATATGGACTTGGGAATGTGTGTAATGGAGTTATGCTAATTTGGCTTCTTTTTTCCCTCAGTTTTTGGTGAATTCTGTATGAGTGACAAAGATTGAATCTTTTTGTTTGTTTTGTTGTCCAACAAGTTTACTGAGTTTAATTTGTGGAAAGCTTGATCTTTTGTGTGTGTGTGTGTGTGTGTTTTCTTTCTGAAGTTACTTGTTGTTTAGCTTGGAGAGGTAGTGAATTGCTTTATCTTGCTTTGGAGTGAATTGGTTTACGGATTTTGATCTTCGGGGATACTGATTTTTTTAACATAGGAAGAAGCAATTCATTGCATTTTGGATTACTTTTTTAGTTTTTAGTTTATAATGGTTGGTGATTTCTCAATGAATTTCTTGAAAGATTGAATCTTTGTGTTGTTTTTTTATTCGATGAGTTTTTACTGAGTTGAATTTGTTTTCTGGTTGTTTTTCTGAATTTCCTAGGTGTTTAGCTTGGAGAGGTAGTGAATTGTTTTTTCACTCTTGTGAGTGAAGTGATTTATGCTTTTTGATCTTCCGGGATACTAATTTTAACATAGGAAGAAGCAATTCATTGCATTTTGGTTACTTTTTGGATTTTTACTTTATACTGGTTGGTGAATTCTGAATGTGTTTCTTGACAGATTGAACCTTCTTGTTGCTTTCTTATTCAACGAGTTTTTACTGAGTTGAATTTGTGGAAAACTTGAATCTTTCGTTGTTTTTGTTCTTTTCTGAAATTCTTAAGTGTTTAGCTTGGAGAGGTAGTGAATTGGTTTACAGATTTTGATCTTCGGGAATACTGATTTTAACATAGGAAGAAGCAATTCATTGCAGTTTAGATTACTTTTTTTTTTTACTTTATAGTGGTTGGTGAATTCTGAATGAGTTTCTTGAAAGACTGAACCTTTTTTGTTGTTTTGTTATTCGACGAGTTTTTTCTGAGTTGAATTTGTGGAAGCTTGAATCTTTTGTTGTTGTTTTTCTGTAATTTCTAAGTGTTTAGCTTGGAGAGGTAGTGAATTGCTTTTTCTCTCTTGGGAGTGAATTTGGTTTACGGATTTTTGATCTTCCAGGATCCTGATTTTAGCGAAGGAAGAGGCAATTTATTGCATTTTGTATTACTTTTTTGTTTTTTACTTTATAGTGGTTGGTGAATTCTAAAATGAGTGTCTTGAAATATTGAACCTTTTTGTTGTTTGTTATTCAATGAGTTTTTACTGACTTGAATTTGTGGAAACCTTGAATCTTTTGTTGTTGTTTTTCTGAAATTCCTAAGTGTTTAGCTTGGAAAGGTAGTGAATGGCTTTATCTTACTTGGGATTGAATTGTTTTATGGATTTTGATATTCGGGATACTGATTTTAACATAGGAAGAAACATTTCATTGCATTTTGGAGTACTTTATCGTGTTTTACTTTATAGTTGTTGGTGAACTCTGAATGAGTTTCTTGAAGATTGAACCTTTTTGTTGTTTCGTTTTTCGATGATCTTACTGGGTTGAATATGTGGAAAGCTTGAATCTTTTGTTGTTGTTTTTTTCCTGAAATTCCTAGGTGTTTAGCTTGGAGATCAGTGAATTGTTTTATCTTACTTGGGAGTGAATTGCTTTATCTTACTTGGGAGTGAATTGGTTTACGGATTTTGATCTTCGGGAATACTGATTTTAACATAGGAAGAAGCAAGTCATTGCATTTTGGATTACTTTTTCGTATTTTACGTTGTAGTGGTTTTGGTGAACTCTCAATGAGTTTCTTGAAAAATTGAACCTTTTTGTTGTTTCGTTATTTGATGAGTTTAACTGAGTTGAATTTGTGGAAAGATTGAATTTTTTTGTTGTTGCTTTTTCCTGAAATCTCTAGGTGTTTAGCTTGGAGAGGTAGTGAATTGCTTTATCTCACTTGGGAGTGAATTGGTTTACGGCCTTGATCTTCCGGGATACTAATTTTAACATAGGAAGAAGCAATTCATTGTATTTTGGATTACTTTTTCTTTTTAACCTATAGCGGTTGGTGAATTCTGAATGGGTTTCTTGAAAGATTGAATCTTTTTGTTGTTCTATTATTCGACAAGTTTGCCAAATTGAATTTGTGGAAAGCTTGAATCTTGTATTATTATTTTTTCTGATATCCTTTGGTTTAGCTTGGAGAGGAACTAAAGTGCTTTATTTTACTTGGGAATGAATAAGTCTATGGATTTTAATCTTCCAGGATTACTGATTTTAACATAGGAAGAAGCAATACATTGCATTTTGGATACCTTTTTCTTTTTTATTTTACAGTAATAGGTGAATTCTGAATGATTTTCTTGAAAGATTGAATCTTTTGTCGTTTTGTTGTTCACGAGTTTACTGAGTTGGATTTGCGGAAAGCTTGAATCTTTGTTGTTTTTGTCTGAAATTGCTAGGTGTTTAGCTTGGAAAGGAAGTGATTGCTTTTCATCTCACTTGGGAGCGAATTGGTTTACGAATTCTGATCTTCTGGGGTACCAATTTTAGCAATTTATTGGATGTTTGTGGTACCTCTTTTGGGGAAATTCAGTTAGAGCAAGTTGTGCCCTCCGTTGGGTAGAATTCTTGAAATACTGCTAAATTTGATTGGTGTTTGGAGAGTTTGACAGTATCGAAGAAATGGTGTAAATTTAGCAAGTTTTTGGTGGTGGTGAAATGTCAGTAGTAGTTTCTCCACCTCCAAGTCTTGCACCAATTCCTGTCCCACCAATTGTCTTGAGTCCACCTCCTCAGCTTTCTTCTCCGCCCCCTGCATCTCAGCCTAATGCGACAGCACCACCCGTGTCTTCTCTTCCTCCAACATTACCCCCACAATCTTCTCCTCCCCCGGCCTTACCAACACTACCACAATCGCCTACTCCAAGTAACGTGACATCGCCGCCTCCTAGTAACGTGACATCGCCTCCTCCAATGGCTTCCCCACCCACAGAATCCGCTCCTCCAACAGTTAGTCCTCCACCTATCCCACCTGCTAGTTCACCGCCACCTGTATCTTCTCCTCCGCCTTCCAGTTCACCACCACCTCAATCTTCTCCTCCCCCTGCTAGTGCTCCTCCACCTACATCTAGCCCACCAGTTAGTTCATCACCACCTCCAGAAGTTGAGCCTCCACCTGTCTCACCTCCGCCACAACCAACTGTTCCTACAAGTTCACCTCCACCGCCTCCAAAAGATGATCCTCCTCCTGCCTCACCTCCACCACAACCAACCACTCCTCCAAGTTCACCTTCACCACCTCCCAAAGTTGATTCTCCACCTTTTTCACCTCCGCCACCTGCACAGAATCCGGATCCTACTGCACCACCACAATCTCCTGAACCTCCGAAAGGTTCACCACCCGTGAATTCACCTCCATCACCAGCGTCTGTGCCACCAAGAGGTTCACCTCCTACCCCAGCCTCTGACCCTCCTGCAAATACACCTCCATCGCCAGCATTTACGCCACCACAAGGTTCACCTCCTACACCATCCTTGGAACCTCCTAAAAATACACCTCCTTCACCATCAGTTCCTTCTGGTGGAACCACTACCGATAGGCCCAGTGACAATGCAGCAGGTAGCGCAAACAGTTCCAGTAGTAGCGGCATAGGAACTGGAGGTACAGTTGCAATTGGCGTCATTGTTGCTGTTTTATTGCTTGGTATTGTTGGATTAGTGGGTTGGTGCTTGTGGAAACGAAAGAAAAAGGCTTTTCGTCCCAGTGGCGGAAATGTCATGCCAACCCCTTCGGGCTCCACCCCAAATTCTGGTAACTTTTCAGAAACTAGTATATTATTCATTAGCACGTCAGTATATGTATCAGATCTTTTTGAAGCAACATCAACGTAATATTTGTGGTTCATAAATTTAATGCAATCTGAGAAGATGCTCAAATTGTGTACAGATTCCGTCTTATTGAAGATACAGGAATCAACACCTGATACAAGAAATGGAACTGGAAACAAATTCCTAAATTCTCCTGGAGGATCTGGTGGATTTGGAAATCCAAAGATATGGTTTACCTATGAAGAACTAGTTAAGGCTACTGGTGACTTCTCGGCTGAGAATTTGTTGGGGGCAGGTGGATTTGGTTCTGTATACAAAGGATGTCTACCAGATGGGAGGGATGTAGCAGTAAAGCAGCTAGATATTGGTGGGCGCCAGGGGGACCGGGAGTTCAGAGCTGAAGTTGAAATCATTAGTCGAGTACACCATCGCCATTTGGTTTCCCTTGTAGGTTATTGCATTTCTGAAAATAGAAGACTGCTTGTTTATGAATATGTCCCAAATAACACCCTTTACTTCCATCTTCATGGTAAATACAAATCTTTTTTAAAAAAAAATAAGAACTCATTGTTGGCATTTTGTCATTAAAACTAGATGTTGATACTTGCAATTTACAGCCGAAGGAAGGCCTGTTATGGATTGGACAACACGTGTTAAGATTGCTGTTGGTGCAGCTCGTGGAATAGCTTATCTGCATGAAGATTGTAACTTTCTTCACTTCTTTAATTCTTATAGTTATGATTGATTATCTGCACTTTGTTTCTTATCTGGGTGAATAAAATATGACTAAAGAACTGCAAAAATTACACCATCAGATAATATGTACCTGATTATCACTCTTCGAATTAGAGAATTGCCTATAATACCAACATGGGACACTTATTCTAATTATCACTCTTGAACTCTAGATTGCATAATAAACACTCTTCTTTGGTTTCACTCATCTTTCCTGGTGATGACAGGCAATCCTCGTATTATCCACAGAGACATCAAGTCATCAAACATTCTTTTAGATATTAACTTTGAGGCTCGGGTATGTCGACATCCTCAAACTCCATTAGTGGCATTCTTTGATTCGCAAACTGACTTATAATTCTATTTATTTTTCACAGGTTTCTGATTTTGGATTAGCTAAATTAGCTCAAGATGCAAAAACTCATGTTACAACACGTGTTGTGGGAACATTTGGGTATGTTCCATCACCAACTTGAAGACGAAGTGGAATATAGGAGACAATGCATTATATTCCTCCTCTTTATGTGTCTATTCTAATACCTTGTGTCGTTTCAGCTACATGGCTCCTGAATATGCATCAACTGGCAAGCTGACTGAAAAATCTGATATATATTCTTTTGGGGTTGTGCTTCTGGAGCTAATTACTGGACGGAAGCCTGTTGATACATCTCAGCCTTTAGGGGACGAGAGTCTAGTTGAATGGGTATGTTTATTGTCAAACGAATCTCTTCTTTCTCCGAGTCCAAAGTGGCATGAGGTCTTTTTCATCAGCCACTCTCCACACTATGTGATAATTCTGCACTGGTTATTTCTCACTTACAAGTTAACATTTATGCATGGGCAGAGTACAAATACTGTGTTTAGTCCATTTTACTAGGAAAACCTCTACGTTTAATGTTACATAGGATTTGCTGATTCGTCCTGTCATTTTCCTCACTGCACAAGAACTTAGTGAAATAGGAGAAAACAAGGAAAGGATGGAGATAGATTTAATGTTGTAGGATATTAAGTGTTTCGACTCTATTCTGACTTATTTGTAGCTTGCATGACTGAGTGGGTGAAAGAAGTGTACTAATTGCACAACTTTGGTGTTTCATTTTTGGGAAGTTTCTGTCTTGTAAGGGTCCATTGAGTCCATATAATAACGGTTTTCTTACACGGAAAATGATTTATTCCCTCTAATTAATTACCTGAGCAGGAAGGCTTCTACAGAAAGTTATTTCTATTTCCATTTGGTTCCTGAGAATGTTTATTCTTTCGAGTAGAACTAAATTCTATTACTTATCATGACAACTCACATTGAATCAGCCTAACACTATTTTGAAATCGTATCGATGTAAAACTTGGTGAGACATGCTGCAACTTGATCCTTTTTTCTCTTCCAGGCACGACCGTTGCTTTCTCATGCCCTTGAGAAAGTGGAATTTGATCAGCTGGTAGATCCACGCCTCGAGAGGAATTATGTTATCCCTGAGATGTTTCAACTGATTGAGGCAGCTGCAGCTTGTGTGCGCCACTCAGCTGCAAAGAGACCAGGGATGGGACAGGTAATTGATTCTTCGTTTCACTAAAATCCTACGCCTGAAGCACCGTCAAGACTTGTCACGATGGACTTTAGATTCCGATCATTCTTATTCTTTACAGATCATGAGAGCTTTTGATAACATGTCTGCGTCTGATCTTACCAATGGGATGAAAGTTGGCGAAAGTACAATATATAACTCTGCAGATCAATCTGCAGAAATAAGATTGTTTCGAAGGATGGCATTTGGTAGTCCAGATTTTAGTTCCGATTTTTTTAGCCAAGGTACACAGCATAGTGGAGAGTCGGCTGAAGATAGAGTATAGTACACAGCTAAAGGTCTTGTTAAATCAAGTGTATATTCATCTGTTCATAGATAAAAGCACCTACGTTGAGAGGTACGCGTTTGCCTCTCCGAGGTGATTTTGGTTTTGTTTTATTAGTAGCTTCCTTTTTGGCTGCTTACATATAGGCCCTGGTTTTTTAGTAGCAAATTTTTCCTGTAAGTAACATGAATTTTTTTGTCCATCTCCAATATTTTTCTTCTTTCAAAGGTTTATTCCACTTCTTTGTTCTTCTCAAATGGTGGAAATATGTAGACATTGATGGGAACATGTAGTTCCCCTTCCTTTTTTGTGCATGTCATCACATTTTCTTTGGTAGCATTCACTATTTTGGAAACATTTGCTTAAAAGAAGTGCACGCTCCAGGTGGAATAGTCGAGGTGTGTCTAAGCTGGTTTGTGATAAAAGAATGTATATAGAAAGTCTTAAGTTTTAAGTTTTGCTTGTAAAGTCTTTACATCCATTGACACAAGGAATAAAGAAAAGCAAGATTGAGAAGATCTTGTCTTCCGTTGGAAGGCAAGTGCAAAAAAGTCAAAGACAGACCTAAACAATCAAGCATGTTGAGTGAACCCTCTGCTAGCTATCCATAAGCAAACAAACAAAGCTATGCTTTAATCTTAAAGCAAGTTGTGATCGTCTATATGAATCATCACTGTTCGTATCGCTTCATTTAAGCACGTTACAGCCCAATACATCACAAATTGACTCGTTTGACGCGATTTCCCCCCTTCATCTTAGCTTGAGACCGACAATATGAATGAGCAAGTTCACATAGGCAAAGTTCTTCTCCTAGCCTATCCATGAACATGTGAAATACAAGTCACTGTACAGGACAGCTTATGCTTCCTTAAACATTTTATTTTAAGCTATCAGTTCCATTTTTCATTAGCTTTAGAGGCAATATTTAAAAATTTCAATGCTTCAAACATCAATATACTCTTCTATAAAGACAAAGCAACCTATTCCTTGACAAGAAATGACTTCTATACATAACCTTCTTCATTACCATCACCTTTTCTCTCCTTCAATCTTGCACAAAAAATGGAAGACAAAAACATTTTCGCGGCCGATTGTATAGTCATATGTTGCTGCTGTCAATGCTTGATCCTCCAAATCATCATCTTGTTCTTGCTTAACCTTCCATACAAGTTGTTAAAGAAAACAAAAGAATGTATAAAGAAACTGAGATATCGAAGACGGAACAGGAAAACTTTTAGGGAGATAGAGATCAACAGACATGAAGATGAAATCTTGATGGATCATGGAGGATGTTTGAGAGTTGAACTTGAGAGTTTGTGTTGTATGGAAGAAGTTGAAAAGGTTTTAGAGGAGTTTTCTCAAAAGGGTGAATTTGCTTTTGGAAGCTTTTGGGGTGGGGATGAAGAGGATGTGTTGAAGACAGATAGAATCACAACATGTATACATAAACAAACAGTTGATTATGATGTTTTTCATACTCATTTGATACAAGTTTTTGGATCTTTCAACTTGCAATGACACTATCATATGCCCTTTTATCTAAATCTCATACTTGTTAGAGTTCTTGGGATACTTTTTGTTCTAATGGATTTAAGTTAGATACATTGATGACTAGTGTAAAAAGAATTTAAACCATCTAATGATTTAACATGTTATTGAAGGTTACTTACTATTTATTCAAAGCTACCAATCAATGTTTATTAAGTAAACAAATTCTGTAAATGTGAACACATATATACCTTTAAAATATACTAGTTACACATGAACACACATATACCTTTAAAATACACTAGTAAATAGTGTAGGAGGTGAAAGGTTCTTCATAAAGTTTGATATCGTAACAACAATTCTGATCAAAGTTGGGAGTATTTTTAGATGAAAAATGTCCTTTTGAACTAGAAATGCTCATTCTTTATTGCAAAAAATAAAATAAAAATGTACACATTGGGTCTTGTAACTCAAAACAAATCCACTCCTCTTTCTTATTAGAAAAGGCAGCTTATCTGCTATTCTGCTTCTGGTATTCAACAACAAAAACTTTAACAATTTTACAGGATATAGAATGAAAGAATTACAAATATATTACCAGCTGGCAAAATTTACAAACTCATGAGACATCTTTGCTCATTTAAGACATGTTATCTACTATTATAGCTTAGCACCAATTGAACCTCGACGCTGTGGCTTCAATATCAGTAGTCATGTACAGGACCAGCTCGGAAAACATGTACAATGAGCAAGTTCCTGCTTGACAGTGGTTTTTTTGTAGGTCCAAAAGTTAATGTCTCTGCTGAGAATACCTATTCAGGTGTTATCTATGGCTACTATTGTGCTCTTTCTTCTCTTCCAAAGGATCTCTTCTAGCCAATGAACGAGCAGTGAAACCTACGGTTGTGGGCCTTATTGACCTCTGTCTTACCATATGGCAGAACTCTGGGTCCTCAGACCTTCCCTCGTATCTTATCCATTGAATCATCCCGTGGTACATTGGGAAGAACCGCGTTTGAATAGCATTGTATGCAAAGTATGGAATTAGAGCTGAAATGACTGTCAATATTGAGATGATCCAGTAGAATGGGGATGGGGCTAAAGCTTCCACGAAGATTTTGTATGCGGTAGTGGAAAATGTTGAAGACATGTTTCCATAAATCAGAAGGAAAATGTACCAGAGAGCAATTCCACCCCAGATGACTATATGCTGGATTAAGGTAAAATAACTGATAGCAAGAGCCATCTGGCAGTTGGCAACCCAAACAACACAGGTGTACATGGTTGCTCCAACAACAGGAAATTCAGCAATTTTACCGTCTTCTTTAAAGGCTTGAGGATCTAGTGCTGTTATGCAGAAGAAGTAGATTATCACCGCACTGCAAACGCCATTGACCATCCAGCCAATTATACGACGCCATCTGAAAAGGAGATTCTGGATACCTTCTTGGTACAGCAAAGGGAACTGCCACATAATATCAAAAAAAAAATTAGAAGCTAAGAAAAAGTACTTAATTCCATGTCATGTCCTAGAAGCTATAACAGATACAAAAACAGCTGATAATTACTAGTTTTTGGCAGTGTGAGAGGTTAGCTATGATAGGTTTTAGGAGAGGTAGAGGTAGGCCTGAGAAAACTAGGGGGAGGTGATTAGACATGAGATGACACATCTTCAACATACTGAGGACAATGACCCTAAATAGGAAGATTTGGAGGGCGAGCGTAAGAGTAGAAGGGTAATAGATTGCCAAGTGATATGGTATATATTTGTAGTATCTTGGTCTCCTAATTTTCACTATCGTTTGTTTTGTTTATCTTGCTATATCGCTTGCTACTTTGTCGGTGGTTTTTCTTTCTATCTGCTTTGATTACATTTGTTTTGAGCCAAGGATCTAAGCGGAAAACGCCTCTCTAAACTCTACCCCAAAAAAGGCAGGGGTAAGGTTTGGTACATCCTACCTTCCCCAAACCCCACTTGTGGAATTACACCGAGTCTGTTGTTATTACTAGTAATAAGCACATATATAGTAAGCGAAAACGAATACTGCATCAAGTACAACATACCTTAAGACACAATCTGGCAGATACATCTTGATCAAAAACTCCCAAAGCAATCACCGGGAGTGATGTGAAGAAGACATTGTAAGTTGACAAAAACCATTCATTGTATGCTGGTTGTCCAGAAAATGATGCATATCCCTCATATAAGAACACAGTGACACCAAATACGATGTTTTTGTAGAAGAAGTAGCATATCTGAAGGGAAACAAATATAAAAGCCAGTTATTAAACTGCTCCAATAATAATGTCTTTTTGTTTTGAAACAGTTCCATAAGACGGTGGATTTATTCTTTAAACATATTTTTGTCTCATCTTACAAATGATGAGACAACAAATCTAAAAGAGAAAATCAGTGGAAAATAGATTACCATAGTAGAGATCCTTCTATAACACCAATGGCCATGCACTAAAAGCAAGCGCTCCAAAAATCGGAACTGAGCAATTGCAACATCACTTGACATAACAGCCTGATGAGTAAAAACAAGAAGAAGTTATGGAAAGAACATTTACGTGGAGGAAAAGCATAAGTGAGAAAATCATCAAAGTTGCTACAAGGAGGAAAGAGAATAAGTATAAGCTCTTGAACCTGCATTCCTTCGACGCCACTGATTCCAACTCCGATATCAGCTTCTTGAAGCATTCCTACATCATTAGCTCCATCTCCAACTGCCAATGTGATCTTTCCGGTACCGTTTTTGACAAGTCTTGTTACCTATATTTTAGCAAGAAAGAGTCAAACAAAAGCACCAGAGTAGACTATAAAACATAGAGTCTGGATAGTGAAACCAATTTTCAACTTACCAGTGCCTTCTGTTTTGGTGAAGAACGACAGCAAATAACAGAGGCACATTTGATTGCAAGGTCTAAAAACATATCTTTCACTTCATCATCTAGGGCATATGTAAGAGATTTCCCATCAATGATCAAAGCAAATGCCTCTGTGCTTGAAGCAGTAAGTAGAGCCTTTCCTTCAGTAATTTGCTGTGTAACACTTCCCTTTGAAGCCTGTAATTTTAAAAAATCAAACGCAACTTCATGAACATTGAAACTTCAAAATATAAAGAATCATTTTCACATTTTTAATTATGTACCAATCACAAATGCAAATAAAGAAGGCTCTCGGCGAGATAATAGGAGGGGTTGCTCTAGCTTTTCTCTTTTTCATTCTTTATGTGGTTCTTTATTGATTTAATTCATGGATATTGAATTGCTTAGAGTGAAAATGCATGTTAAACTCATGGGTGCACAGAGGGAGTATAAGAGTAATGGCATCAATCATTTGCTGAAACAGTGAACTATTTTCAGCTTCAAAAAGCTCATTGTCGAGACGCAAAGGAACATAACCATAGGCTTATAAGGCATGGCAGATTATTTTTGTTCCATTTCAAAATGACTCAAGCTTGCATATATGGAAATTGACGTGACACATTAAACACGAGATGTATTTACCCTGGCAATGGCATTCTTTTCTCCGGATTTCTCTACAGCTATAATTTCAGGGCTTTCCAGTGTTATGATAATTTGCGTCATTCCTTGTCTAAGCAAACTACACGCATAACTGCAGGAGACATTTTGATCAGGATGTGTTTGGACATGCAAAGCTTGTATCAAATAAAAACGACAAAAACTCATAATCAATTACTATACCCGATATTAATGGCTGTTTCCATCTTATCCC